TGTCAACACTGCCATTCTTATTGTTGCTGTCGTGCCAATTGGTACCTTGCGCTTGCTCAGGGCAGTTGGGTCTCTTCGTCTGAATTTGGCCCAGGAGGTTCACCAGGCCAGGGGATCTGGGCTTTGTGTTCAGGGCAGCAGGATTAGTTTTGAGGCTTGGGTTGCGGGCTTCAGGCCGGAATGGCACCCCAAGCCGTCGTCTAGAGCCGAACTCGATCAAACCCCACAGTGGTAAAAGATTACAACTACCAATACACAGATTCGTCACCTCGGAAGGCTTCGGAAAGAACAAACCAAGCCTGAAACGCTCAGAAAGCCTGGCCTCAGGAACCCCAAACCCAGGAATCCTTAGTCCTTTGCACCTGGGCTATGCATAAACAGAGGAACCCGAAACCCGAAACCCACCAAACACCCTGGAAGGCACGGGGCCCGGAAGTTCACGGCCACGGCATAGTGGCCAGGGCGCTGGGCAGTAAGCAGGCCGATATACCTTGTTGCCATGGATACTTTTATTATGTGTAATTGTAGTTACCACTATGATTATAAGTATGGTGATGATTATGATTAGCCAATTATTGCTTGCTCTTCTTATTGCTGTCATAACTTATTATCATTGTTATCGTTGTTGTTATTATTCTTATTAGTGTGTCCGCCCAGGCTCAAATCCTGCATCCGCTGGGAAAGTGGTGGTGGTGGTGGTGGTGGTGGTGGTGGTGGTGGTGGTGGTGGTGGTGGTTTGTTCATCTTATGATGTGCTTTAAACGCTCGCACTCGAAGCGCAGGCGCGGGTTTGGGAGGCAACTAGTCGCAGGCGGCTCATCCCGAGCTGGCACAGGCAGATTGGCCCCTAGCACTCAGCAGATAACTCTAGCAGTGAGAGTATTCGGAAGTGTTCGTATTGGCATTAGAATTAGCATTAGGATTAGCAAGGATTAGCTTAGTAATAACACCCGATATACTACTAGTAGTGTTGGTATTCGTACTTGTATCAACCGAAATACTAGTGTTCGTATTCCTATTGGTATTCCTATTGGCATTAGTATTGGCATTGGTATGGACATTGGTATTGGCATTGGTATTGGCATTGGTATCTGTTGTAATATGGAGAGTATACCTTTCGTTTTTCTTTGTCGTCTTATGAGTGTTATGGATGTGTTGTCTGGATTATAAGAGTTACCTTGCTGCTTGGATTTTGGGCCTTGGGGCCTAAAGGGTTTGGGGCCTGGCTTTGAGGCTTAAGACGTCTGTGTAGTTTTGAAGCGCTGTGATTGCAAGAGTTTGGGGCTTGGGGTGTAGTTTCAAGAAGTCGAAAGGCTCGAAGGCATATGCTCAGGGTCTAAAGTCCAGGGTTTGAGGGCTATGAGGTTTCGAGAAACCTAAGCCATCAGCATAGAGCTGTCCCTGTGCCATAAGTGATTCCAGGTGTGCGATGAATAGAATGGAATGGCTGTAAAGTTAAGGAACCCTTCAGGCACCTGTTTTACTGCGCTTTGCAGTGCCCAGCCAAAATTAGGACACCACAAGGGAAGCCCGGCCCAACAAAAACCAATCTCAAAAACCCTGAACCCCCTGCATTGCCAGAGAATCTGTGCCCTTTTTACATCAGCCTTGCATTGCCCTAAACGCAGCACCCTAAAAACTAAACCCTCTTGATACATCCAAGTGTGTGACAATAACCGAGCTGACATTTTTGCAGAAACCGTAAACCCATAATGTAGGGCCTATATAAACAAAATAGGATTTTGGGGCCCATTATACACAAAACGACGGTTATAGTGAGGAACCCCCTACAATAGTACAATAGTATAGGTAATGTTTAAGCCCCTCAACGCGAAACCCAGCCAAAGAATTTCCCAACGGCAACAAGGTGCCCGGCCCAGGTGGTCGCTGTGTAGAGCAACTGGCCACCCCTTCGCACACGGACGTCAATGTTCAGCGCCTGCCACCATACTGTGATTAAGGCTTGGGAGGTGTGAACTTAGGGCACCGCCCGGGCTTTGGGTGGTCGCTTGGGGCTGTAGAGTTTGAAGTTTAGGGCCGTTTAGGGATTGTTGAGTTTTACCAGATTTTTGCCAGCTGCTCAAGACCTCCGTCTGGACTCCGCATAAACATCAGTTCTGAGCTCGCGGTACTTCTCTGGGTCGTCCCTTCGGCCGGTGAGACTTGGATAACCACAAAACATCCAACCAACGTTTTGCACGGAAGCTTCAGGGCTTGATGGCCGTATTCGGTTCCCAAGGCATGTAAAAAAAACACCATGTCAGAAATATAAGTAGAGAGTGTGCTCGCGGCAAGACGAAGCCAAAAACCCCAGGTGACGAAGCTTCTACTTCGCTTGAGTTGCACACTCCAAACTGCCGGGCAGAATTATGCTCTCTTCGCTCGGCGAGTACATGAACCAAGATGCTGTCGATTTTCGGCTTTCTGCTCTACTAGAAGCCCTTAACCCTAAACCGGTTGCTAGCTACCGGGGCTCAGACCACTTCTTCACCCCGACGCTGCCTTCAGCTCGGGGAATTCCCAATCCAAGGTACCTGGAGTGCTGCTAAAGCGAGTGCTTGCGACCTTCCCACTCTTCCCGGACTCATGTCATGGTGCTCTCGGCTCATTGTAAGCGTATCGTGATTTCAATTCCGATGATTGCTAGCACACGGTCAGAGTTTGCACTAAGCAGGAGAGACGGACAGAGAGAGAGAGAG